TCCAGAGGCATCATTGTACCACCAGGTCCCAACTTTTTTTGCTATGGGTACTTTACCTTTTCGTAAAGACCTCTTTTGCCCCTGCTTTCCCACCAACCCTATTTCGTGATCCCGTCAATCATCCCGATTCGCGCGGGACGTAATCCTGATGACGGAAGCTTGCCTGTAAGAATGGGGGCATTTTTTCAGACTACGCACGACTACGGTTGAACTAAAACACAAACGCCGATGAACTAACACCATAGACCAGTGTCCGTAGTCTCTCCATCTAGCCAGACTACTTCCCCCCCAAACCCTGACGGCCTGAACCGCACCGTTTGCCCCTCTCCTCCCCGCCCGCTCCCGGCTCTCGACTCGCGTCCCGGATCGTCCACGAGTCCAGGTCACGATGGGGCAACTTACGAGAGCCTGAAAGGGCAAAAAGAGGCAGAAAGAGAGTTTTCGTCTAAGCCCTGGTCCTGGACAACAGCATGGGATAAGATCATAAGAGAGGCCATCAAGCACGTTCGTCCCCATCATGAACCCTAACCCCTACCTAGTTCTCTTGACGTTCTTTCTTGGCGGATGGAGCAAGAAAAGTAGCGGTGGTGCCTCGTAGTCTCGACTCTTGCAGCAGAAAAGAGAGAGAGAGGAAGAGCAACGACGCCAAAATCTGAGACAAGCATGCCTTCGCTCTGGCCGTGCCTTGATCTTGACCCCCTGGCCCTGTCTATTCCATCACCCGTCCATGGTTCCACCTCGACCACATACGCGTTTGGAAGTGGGGAATCTTGGTGACCCGGGCGGTGATCGTCAAGTTCACCTACCGAGACGAGAATGGGACGAGAGGGCACCTCAGCTGAAGGTTGTCCGTTGTCAGATTGATGATTGCAACGCTGTTACAATAGTTACGCGTTGACCACTACTACGGTCTCCCACAAGGTAAGATGATCCTACGAGATCGGGGTAGTATCGAGCAAAAGTCAGATATCACCTGCAGTAGGTATGCATATATCAAGCAGTACCAAGATTCTGACGGGCAAAATTGTCTCCTTTTAGTCTAGACTGATTCTCTTTTTGGGAGATGCAAGACGTGTAGCTGAAGGATGAGATATTCCCCAACAACGTAACCTGTCAAGTCCACGCCATGCAGACGAGATGTGATGGAAGTTCGGACGTCACCTATCCGACGTGGTTCTGCTCTCGGACTTCAGCTTTCTTCGTATCATCAGTACGTGAAGTAGAGTGTAGAGTACCTGGACGCAGTGATCAAGACCCGCACTCGGGGAAAATATCGGGTTTCTTTCATCTTGGATCTTCGAACCTTGTTATCTCTCACATTTCTTAGCAGTGACAATCTAATCGTAGAATCAAGTGTAATCTCTTTCGTATCCTCGCAAACCCAATAAACAGGGTGTTATTCAGTACAGAGTAATAGGCCGTCCTCCCCTCCCGTGTCCCCATTTTTCGCCGTTTGAACCCCCAAAAGTAAGACAAAGTTGGCCTCCTTCCCGATATCCCCTACTCCCAGTTGTCGCACCAGAGACTGAATCCTCCCTTTGGTATTCTCCTCTCTCTCTCTCTCTCTCTCTTCCCTTCTCCCACCAGTGTTTTTGATTGGTACTCATGCGACTTCGTATTTGAACGTCTTTTAATCGTTAAGAATATATGTAAATCTTGTGAGTTTTTTGTGTGTGTGTGTGTGTGTGTGTGTGGGCTGATGTTTCTCCGCGGCAATCGTAAAAAAATGCATGTAAAGTCGTTGCGCAGGACGGTTGGTGGGATGTGTCGACAACCTCAGGTGGGAGTTCCAAGTGTCTTTCTCTGATAAGCAAAAGCATCCTCCCCAGTTTGATCCATACAGTAGAAAAACAAGTAAACGTAGAAACAACAAAAAGTAACAAAATACACCCAAACGGTTTGCCAATGTACGCCCAAGAAAAAGGTGATTCTTCGTGCAACAGAATTATTACAGGTTGGAAAGGTAGAAAAGATTTGTGTTTGCTGCAGCAATGTTGCAAGGATGAGCAACATGCAAAGCTGTGGCGTGCGCGCCTCGTTGGAGATCCTGGAAATTGTCTTGGAAAAAAAGAGAAGCAGCCTATCGCCATGGGAAATCCCGACTTGGCGTTTCTTGCTGCCCCTCTTTCTCGGCCGGAGTCTCCAGTGCCCCCGGGAAACGTCCCGTAACACCCCGGTTCAAGGTGTCTCACTCCAGCAGCAGTAAAGCAGTAGAGATAGAGTAAGAAACTTTGGACGTTTTTCTTTCTCAGTTCTTGTTGCTGCCGCTACTGCTGGGGCTTGAGCTGGTGCCCGTCTTGACGCGCTTGCGGCTCTTGCTCTGCAGGCACATCTCGTCGTACAGCTTGGCGGCCTTCTCGTTGTACGGGGTCCTGCTGCTCTTGCCCTGCTTGTGGAGAAGGAGATGGGAGACAAAGTTGTCGCGGCGCTCCTTGAACACGTGGTTGCAATTTGTCGCAGGGCACGTGTAAAGCTCAACCTCCTTTTCGTGGGTGCTAAAGCGTGTGTTAGTGCGTTGAGATTGTGAGTTTGAGTGATGAAGTGAATGCTTACGCCTTGAAGTGTCGCTTGAGATGTTCCTTTCTCTTGAAAGTCTTGGTGCAGTCGGGATATGTGCACCGCTCCCGTCTAGGCGCCACGTGGCGGACCTTCATTGAGCCGCACTCGAGGACGGAGCCGTCCTGGTTGACCTGAATGGACCTCAGTTGCCTCAGGGCCTCCATGTCATTCTGGTTCTTCTGAAGAGCGAGGGTCTTGCGCTGGACTTCGGCGAAGAGCTTGCGCCTGGGGTCCTGGCGGTGGTGGTATGCAGCCGCTGAGGGAGGAGTGAGGCGGGGGATAGGGGAGTCTGTGGTCTCGCGCTTGACAGCGCTGCTGTTGCTGCCGTGCATGGCCTGGAGGGGCGACGTCGAGGGCGTGGCCTCGTTGCCGAACATCATGATGGGGCTCTCGCTGCTGCAGGACCAGATGTGAGCGTTGCTGGGTGTGGAGCTCGGGAGGCCGCGGTGGGGAGTTGGCATCACGAAAGGTGATGAGCTCAGCTCCGGGTGGAGCGAGTATTGCTCTGCATGGTGGTGGTGATGTTGTTGGTGCTGGTGTTGCTGCTGGTGAGGGTGAGGCGAGGACATGCCCGGCATGCAGTGGGAGTTGAGGGTAACGTGAAGCATAGTGTTGTAGTCGAGATGGTCCATGCCGTAGCCTGCACTCTGCCTCCTTGAGGGAGTTACATGTGTTGAGGCATACTGCATGGGCATCTGGATCTTCACCTCGTCGGGCTTGGGGAAGTAGCCCTTGTGATCTTGTGATGGGGCATGGTCGAAGGTGAAGGAGCTGTGGGAGGAGAAGGAGGCGTCGAAGTCAATGCTGGACTGGCTGTGATCGTGAGGTGTTGAGCGGCCAGAGCGAGGAGTGAAGGGGCCATTGGGGTCGTAGACGGAGGAGGCGGCAGAGAAGCTTGGTGTTGTAGTCCCGCAGCTCATGGAACCGTCAAAGCTAAAGCTGGTCTCGGGGCCACCAAAGGTCTCCATGATTCCCTCAATGGAGTGGTCCTGCTCCTGTTGCCAGAGGTGCGAGTGCGACATCATTGTGTGAGAGTGTGTGTATGTTGTTGATTGTTGTTGCTTACTCGCTGTTGTTCGAGAGAGGGGGTGAATTCGTTTCTGAAGAGGGAGCGAGTTGTCCGGTTAAAAGTAAGATGAAGAATGATGGGGTAATGGAAGCGTTCCACAGACGAGCAGTCGAGGCAGTATTATATCGTGGGACGGAGGGGGACGGAGATGAAGATGACGCCCCTAGAGAGTGATGGACAGGTATATTCTCACAAAATGGGGAAATAGTGTCATCAATACACCAGCTGGGAGAGACAGAGAGCCCCAGATAGGAATGTATCGAGGTCTGAGTACGTGATAGCGGAGGTGGAGTGGAGCGTGGGAGGGAGAGCTGCGAAGAGCCTGCCGGGGGGTGTAGGTGTGGGAAGAATGGGCGTGGAGTTTGAAGACGTGATGGTGGTGGTGGTGGGGGAGGAGGGGAGGGCAGAGACACAGAGAGAGAGGCTCTAATCTCATTCGCGGGATCCACCGATCTATGGACGAGAGGATGGTGAGGGTCTAGAGCAGCAGAAGAGCGTTTCTTGCGGCGGGAAGAAGAGGGTCCAGTCCAGTTCAGTCCAGTATGTTTCGTCGTCCCTGAGAAACAATGAGACGATCGCCCGGTCCATGAACGCAGACCCACGTACATATAGGTGTCAGATCAATGGATTAGCTGAACCAGGTACGGTGCTCTGGGCGGCTTAAGCTGTTGATCCAAAAGACAAAGCTCGAGCCAGTTGCTCTCTTGTTCGCCTACGATTCTTGATCCCGGCATGGCAGGCGAGAGAAACACAGAGAGAGGTAGAAAGACAGGTTCAGGGCTATGCCTGTCTGCATGGATTCTGAGTTGAGAAAGCAAAGAGTCCAAATCTGGAGCAACTGGCAGGGTACACAGGCGAGTCCAAGTTTGGTGCTGCTGGGATACGAATACATCATGATCAAAGTACCCATTCGTCAAGCCCAGACAGCCAAAATCCTACTCTATCTTGGGTTGCAGTTTGTGTGGATTACCCTTGTCCTTGGGGGGGGATTCGTAGTGATCGAGTCAACTCTGACCGGGGTCGACCACGGCCGAGGAACTGCTGCCAGGCAGCTGGGGACTCGGAGAACCGACCGGGGGACACATTCGACGAAGAAGAAAGAGTACCTGCATGAACCGCTTCTGCTTGTTCAAGGATCGCGGGTTGGTGAAGGGTGAGGATGATGGACGACAAGGGGGGGGGGTAAGGGTGGATGGTTGACAATCCATACGCTCTTGCATCTTGGTTCGGAGACATGGCTCTATCGTTCTCTGTATCCATCTCCAGATTTGGACGTCCGAGCATTGCAAAACAACCGGTAGACTTCCACTGGTGAGGTCGGAAAGAAGCAGGGAGGCCGGAAGGGCCCCATTGTCAGACGTGAGAGCAAGAACGCGTCTCCGGTTTTTCTCCTACTAGCTGGCTAGCTATCAAAGGTACATGACACTGCGGGCCAGAAACAGCCCATGGCGAGCGGGACAGACAGCTGCAGTGGTAGTGGTGGTGGTGGTGGGGTTCCAGAGAGGACAGAGAAAGCGTATGTCTGTGAGATAGCCTTGGGCGGAGGGGAAGGGAAGACTGGGATGGACGGGAGGCCGCAAGAGAGAGTGTGTGTGAGAGTGGGGACGCCCAGACGTAGTTGGCTGCCGTGTATGTCTCTCAACATCTGGTTGTATGTTTGAATGTGTGTAACATTGGGGAATGGAGACACGCCTGTCAAGGAATGGAAGAAGTGATAACTTGATACGTACGACACTCACTGGCCGAGAATTTGGCCAGCTGTGGTGTGAGACACCAGGCACAGGCCGCTCCTCTGCCCCCCTGATGCAAGCTCTTCTGCCTTTGGGCAATAATCGGCTCTCATCCTCTCTCTCTTTCTCTTCTGCCAACGACGGAGGATGTATGATGCAGTTGAGACACAGTGCAGAAAATGTGAAAAGTGACGAGGGCCTGAAGAGCAGGCCGCAGGACGCGAAGGAAGAAGAGAAAGGCAAGAAAAGCAAAAACCCAGTAGTCCGGCGCTGCGGACCCCGGTCAAGTCCGCATGCCATCTTGACACGGAGCTCGCACAGTGAGGTGGAATAAGATTTGCCTGACGTAAGGTATGCATGCACATTTTCACTTGGTACGGCATGGCTAGTTGGTCTCAACTTCTTTCCCTACTGCTCTCTCTCACTGTTATGATGGATAATAGTGGTGGGTGAGAGAGAGGAAAAGAGGCGCTGAAACAGGGACGATGCAGATGAGAGATGTGCAAAAAGCAAAGATGAAGCGATTCTGAAGGAGACGGACTCCAAGCCATAGGGGACTAGAACTGCGAGAGGACCAAAACGAGTAAGAATGACCGGAATGTTGTGTGAGAAGGAAGCGCACCAAGGCAAAGAGCCATTGGCAAGAGATAGACGGCAAGCTTGCAAGGAAAAAGGTTAAGAAGGGAGAAGGCGGGAAAAATTGATGGAGCGACGAAAAGTTATCGTCCGACTCGGGTCGCTTGAGTCAGGGCCGCACCGTAAGTTAACGACGGGCTGAATATTGGGCGATGTGAGATTTGATAGCGTTTCTTTCGGTGTTGGTGTTGCTACCTCTCTCACTCACTCACTCTCACTGTGAGTAAGGTAGTGTGAGTGAGATGAGAGAGAAAGATGGAGGGTGATTGAATTGGCGAATGGGCGGGAGAACGGCAGAAACACGGCAAAAACGGGCAGAACATGGGCCTGCCGCTTCTCCACCAACCAGATCGGCCAATTGGCAAGACTCATCGACGAGATGCCTGCCGTTGATCCCTCATCTCATTGGTTCCCAGCTCATGTGAGAAGCCTTTGATGTTGTGTGAGAGTGCTTATGTCATCTCATTTCATCTCATCTCATCTCATCCTTCACTCACGCTTTCCCCCTCTCATCGAGTCGACGAGTCCCATGTCCTCTCTCCCCCCCATTCAAAAGCCTCGACACAATGGGAACATGACGGGGACCCTGGACAGCACTTCCCAGAAAGCTACGAACAAGGGTTGCGATCAAGGCACGCAGGCACGCTTGAAAGGAAAAGCGGGGATAGATTCAGACACCATTGACCATCCATGTTTAGACCCCCAAAGATCACTGACAAGGGCAGGGCGGCTCATCAGTAAACCATCCACACCCACCCACACACACACCCCTCTCCATCATATTCGTCGTCACCATATTCTCTCTCTCTCTCTCTTTTCTACTAGGTACGTACGGCTGTGTGTCTCTCTCTCATCCAGGACCCATGCCGACCATCATTCTCATCTTGCCCACGCCCTCAGAGGCCCGGCGAGGTACTCTACGCCTCTACGCCACCCCTCTCTAGCCTACCAACGAGTTAGAACACCCGTCTGTGGTGGCTCGCTGGCTCGCCGCCTGGGGCTGGCTGTGCCGCTGTCTACTATGTCTACTATGTCTAGACGTCCTTCAACCTTTCAGTCTGGGCTGGTCCCCGGCGCTGCTGCACGCTTGCTGCAAGTTCTCCGATTCCTGGGACGAGCTATAACCTGTCGGCCAACCTTAGTCTCCGATGCTTTTCTTGCGCCCTCTCCGGTCCTACGTTAGGCCCGGGAAACAGGGACGGACGCCAGACTGATACAGACTGGTTCGGGAGGGCAGAGAAACGCGAAATAGAGTCAGACGAGAAGGACCCTTTCAAAATATTCGGTCCAATGTTGACCAGCCACAGCCAAAGGGAAGGGCAAGGCAAACTATCAGAAACTGCTAGCGTCGTCGGCATCTGCTCCAGCGTTAGCAAAGTGAAAACACACACTCGCGTCTAAATAACACGCGCTACTTGGCGCGCCGCCGTCCAAAGGGATCCCCGCTGAACAGCCTCGCGCGCGCCCCCATCCCCAGTTGTCCAACTCAGGCACCCGAGAATCTGTGCGTCTGCCGTCTCGTCCGTGTGTCTCTTTTCTCGGTCCTCAATAATCCATTGTGGATAGGTATCCGTAGTTGGTCTCCATATTCGAATGGTGTGCCTGGCCAGTTCCAGTAGCCGGCGAGGAAGTGGATGGATGATGGGAGGATGGAGGATGGAGGATGGGCAAATCCCCTCTCTTCGCAACCCAGCACCGCATCGCATATGCTAGATGGTAAATATCCCGTATGGATATCGCCAAGCAAAGAGAATCTGTCACTATTAACCCACTTTTGGCTCTCTGCATCCCCCTGTCGAGCTGCAGTCAGTTCGCCCACATCCGTGATCGACGTCAAGCTGCCGGACCCGAGACTGTCGCTCAGGTGAACAGGGTAGCCCATGTCCCGCTTCCTTCCCCCCCCCCCATGCCATGCCTATCGTACGCATTTTCCTTTCTCACCTCTTTCTCGCTCTCCTCTCTCTCTCTTTCGGATTTCCCATCCCGCACCGATCGCCGTCACGGCTCACGAGCGGCCCCGAGCTTCCTGTACTGCTGTCAAATACCTGGCAGATCACCCGGGCCTGGTGGGGGAGCGAGCATGGGGGGGTGAAGGACGCGAAAGCCCTGGTCAAGATGGCACCAGGCAAGGCAGACGTGGAGAAAGAGGACGATCCGCACTCGCTATCTCACTCCAAGATAGGAACCATTGTGAATAGGACGGACCAAAATGGGATCCCTTCACTGTCCCTCCTCCATCAAATACCACCGAAGTCGTGACGGGAAAGCTAGAGGTGTGCGTGTTTCTCGTGCTTGTACCTGGCGTCGTCGTTGTCGGCTTTTGCTTGGCTCCCTGTCCTCGTCGAGGTTGTCCCCCCCGTCCACCCACCGTTCCCGCCCAGCCTCTCACACAGATCCAACCCAATCACTCAATCCAGGTTAGAGCTTATACGACCTTAATTCGGACGAACTCTTTCCCACCACCACTACCACATGGTCGCTCTTTGTTCAATCCCGCACGGAACCGTTTCTCGCTCCCATCGGATTCTGGCAAAAGGGCTTGGTCCAACGGTCGACGATCATCATCACGACAACGACGCCGTCATTGCGAATCGTCCGATTTTGACAACTTATTTCTAGGACAAAGCGCAAAAAAGACGTTGCTTCCCATACAACGACAGCCGTTCAGCCCGTGACTATCCCCATAATACCAGTTCGTCTAGCTCGATTCATTCCATCGACATCTCTATTCAGTACTCCGTACGCTTGTATTAGTCACTCCCGCGGCTCTTAGTCGGCTACACAACAATAAGCCTTCTTCCTTGAAGTTCCTAGCTCCAGGTGTCTCCAGGTGCCACCGACATCCTCCTCTTCTTTTTCCAAATTCCATGATTCAAAAACCCCATCCGCGCCTCCGACGTTAGTGGCCCATGTTTCGTGTCCCTTGAACAGAGGCGGCAGCCAAGGGAAAAAAGGGCAGTCTAGCAACCTTCGGCCGTTAGTCCACCACCACCACCGCCATACACAAGAGTCTAGAGATTGGGACAGAGAAGGAGAGGAGGGAAGAAGTGACACAAGACTACCGGTTCAAACGAATTGACTTTCCACCAGGTCTATCTGTCTGTCTCTCTGCGGCTTTCGCCGCTCCGCAGTCTGACTCTCCTCTTTTTTGCCCTTCTCATAGTCTCGCAGACACTGTCGAGTTCCCACAACGCGTGTCAAACGAGACCTGTCTGTTTTTTTGGGGGGGGCGTTGGCCTTGCAAGAAAAGTCTCGTGTGAGGCTCCAAAACTCCATCCACACACACACAGAATCACATCCACGCATCAAAATTTTCTTTACTTTTCTTGATGCTTGGCACACACGAGAGGAATGCTCACGTTGGCCCCCCTTTTTCGTTGTTATGTGTGAGAAAACGCCCGCCCCCAATCATGACGCGTGGGAGGTCTCTCCTATTGTTTCCAACGTAAGGTAGAGAAAGAGAGAGAGGGAAAGACAAGTAAGAAAAGTGTTTGCTTTGCCACGACTCCCCACGAGGAACGCAAGAACTCTCGCGCGAGCGACGCAGGTTTTGGGAGGGGTCTCACCATCGAGGCCCGCGTAACCCGCGTTCCTGGCCGGAGCTGGGCCGTCGGTCTCGCTCGACCACCCTCTTTCCTGTCTGTCCCTCTCTTTCTCTCGCTCTCTAGCATCCTAGCTCCATCTCTCCGTTGTCTCCGTCACTATCAAGTCTCTCTTGCCCTGGACCCCTCTTTTTTTGCCCACATCCGCCCGCCGCCGCCGCGTCGTCTGGTTCGGCTTGAACCCCGTTAGCCTGGACTCAAAATCGATCTCTGTACTACCACAAGGCACTTGCGATTCAGATGCTACACTAGAGTCCCATTATCTCCTGCCCTTGGCCCCTCACTCTCTCACACACTCAATGGGTTGTTGCCCATATCGTTGCCCACATCTTCGGCCCCCCTTGAGCATTCAGTCTAGACAAGGTCAGTGTAAGTAAGTTCGGCGAAGTGCCTATCCCGCCAACTTGGGACGAGCAGATGACAATGTTCCGAGGATTTTTGTGACCTGTCACTTTTCTCAAAGTGCCATCCGCAGCAGGCCAAATTCCCGATATCGACAACGAAGACACGCTAGACCCGCTTAGACCGTAGCATCATCTGCTGAATGTCTCTCCTCGGGCCTCTCGAGTGGCCCCAATATTGATGATCCTTGCAGAGTCAGTTTGCCCCTGGCAGATGGGCTGATCCTGCAGAGGCCCTCCCCAGAGTCCATCTCTCCCACTCTCGCCGCGAATCTCTCGCGCTTTCTCTCTCTCTCTGTGTGTGTGTGTGAGGCTATGTGGATGTCTCTTGCCCCTGGCGTCCATTGTAGAAAAGAGGTTATGGGCAAATAGCTCGTCCACCATACCCGGCGTTAGGAGATCAAGGGGGGGATGTTCTTCGCGATTGCGCCCTCTTCTGCAGCTATCCGGAAGGAGAGGGGAAACTCTGGGGATGAAACCATTACCTTGGACCGTTCCAATTGAGGGGTTTTCGGACGCTCCTCCGTGGTTTCTGCAAGCTATTGGCAAGCTTCGTCTGATGTCCCATCGTGTCCGAAGAGAACGTCGTTCCACTTCGTGCCTTTTGGAAAGGCTCACCAGCTCCCTAGTTTACACATGCTACTGCAGTCAGGCCACACACGAAAAGCCTCTTTCGCCTCTTTTCTGCTTGCTGCACAAGACCTGCTAGAATGCGCCCTTCGATCCCCTCTGGAATTCCCAATCGAGCCAGAAGCTTCCAAGACAATCGCCCCTGACAAGCTGGCTAGAGCCTTTAGGGGACTTACACGAGCTTCAGGAATGTCATTGTCGTGGACTAGGCGGGCGAAGTTCCACTTCATTCGTTACGCGTGAGAGCGGTTTCTGACTCCCGTTGCTTCCGCGGGGTGGACTTTGCTCTTCCAGCCCGCCGTCGCGATTCTGCTGAATGTCTACCGGATTGCTGTCCAGCTTCCCCGAGGTATCTGATGGATCCCCCCGTTCCCACCGGACCAAGAGTAGAGTTCGACTAGGACGATGGGTGCCCTCGACTACCTACTGATTGTTCGTCGTTTCGCCTCCGGACTCTGCCGGGGATCCCGCATTGCCGGCAGTTGTCTACCTCCGTCCCTCATCCGCGGGTTCGGCCTAGTGAGCACTGGTTCATCCTCCACGGTGGCTAGGACAAAGTTCTCGTTCCCAATACTGTCAGCTCATCCGGGTAGCGTATATGATATTCTAGGTTGGTGTAGGTCAGCGCAGGGAAGAATACGATGGATCACCAGAGAAAATTTAGCAGAGGGGTTCGGTCCAGAATTGCAGCGAAGCATAATCGGCGAAAAAGATGCCTGAAGTCTATTCCACTGCCTCCTCGTTCTGAGCCATGATCTCGTTGTCCATGTCTTCCAGCACTCCCTGCATCTCTTCCTCGGTGGCCTCCAAGCCATCGGAGCTCATGAGTTTCGTGTCCTTCTCCTCAGCTAGGGCACGGTCAGCTATTATCACGTATTATGTGGGACTTTGATTGAACTTACTCCTGGCCTCAACCAGCAAGTTCTCCTGAACCTCGACGTTTGTCAGAACTGAGTTATCCCCAATGACACAGCGCTTGCCAAGAATACATCTCGTAAGCTTGCAGTTCTTGCCCACCACGGCGCCTTCCATCAGCAGGCATTGTGAAAGCTTGGCGCCCTCGTTGAGCTGGCAGCCGGCTCCGACAATGGACTCCTTGATGGCCACCTTTTCTTCTACTGTGACATTCTCTCCGACTAAGCTGTCGGCCTTTGTGATTGTCGTCCGGCCCTTGACACCCTCTGGGTATGCCACCTTCTTGGCGTGTGCGAAAGGAGATGCTGCCTCGCTGCCAGTCTCTTCCACGGAGGGGACCTTGGCAAGCTGTAGTGATACATTCAGAAGTAGTTGAGCTGTGTCTACACGGCGTATCATCGGTGCGTCGGCTCCAGAAGGATGTACGTAGGCAATAATTGGGGGCACCTTGAGCGACGCTCCTCCCTGAGGATTTGTGCCGTCAAAGTCTTTTCCATCGAAAGCTTTGTCGTCAAAACCTCTGCTTGGTCGCAGCTCTTCGGGGTCGTCATCTTGGGGCGACGAGGCGCTCTCCTGCAGTGAATCGTCGTCGTCACTATCATCTGCCTCTTCCTTGCGCAGAACCTCGTCAAGTTGAAGCTTTTCCGCAAGGCCCTTCTGCCAGGTTGCCTTGGCCCACCAACCAATGACGTCTTCGCCAATGTTTTCCAGCCGATCATTCTTGTCAACAAAGTCCATGATCCATCTTGGTAGAATGTACAAATGCGCGTCTCTGTGTGTCGTGAACATCTTCAGTCGAGGATGGCTGCGGAGGAGGCCATGACGGACAGCAAAGCCCCTCCGTGTCTCCATGAGATCCTTCAGCGAGTCTGTGGGTATGGATGTCACCAGGTTGGACAGGTTAGGGAGTAAAGATCCTTTAGGGGGCGCTACGGGGGAGGGAGTCGACGGTGTCACCGCGATGAAGTCCGTCTCCTCTCCTTTCACCGGGGTTGCCGTCTTCGTCTCGTACCAAACGCCCAAGCCGCCGCTGAAGGGGCTCTGTTTGCTTCCTGAATACTTTGGCGCGCTCAGTAAGTCCGACATGCTTGCGCCCTTGACCATCCATGCCTGCAGCAGTTTCTCGCCGGCAACCTCGCAAATGAGATCGCAGGGAAGGACGACAAAATCGGACTTGACGAGCTCCTTGACCTCAGGTAAGCGGAGGATCTCAGCCGTGCCTGTGGTCTGGTCCAATTCCTTGGGGGCGAGGACGTCTGGTCTCGGCAGTGGAAGTGCTGTCAAGTGAGGGTTGGTGTTCAGGGCAGTGGTGATTGCTGCCTCTGCAGATGCCGGGCAGATGAGAGTAATGTCTACAGTTGTCAGCCTTATAAGTTCCATGATTAATGGCTACTACAAGGGCTCATATTGAGCCCAGCAATGAATGAAGCCCAGCCAGGCACCTACTTGTGATGCCCATACGATAACAAAAATCGACGGGATACCAGACCATGGGCCGGTTGGCGATGGGCAAGAGCGCCTTCGGATTCTCATCAGGATTCGAAGTGAAAGTCGGGAACGAAGATCCCGGGCCGCAAAGGACCAAGGCTTGGAGCCCTGGTGAGGGCATCGACACAGCGTGGGGCATCTCGAGGTGATTTGGCGGGGTATTCCGCTTGCGACAAGTGACTGCAGCGAGAGATGCCAGGGTACGAGAGCGTGGAAACCGGGCTGTTAAGATGTACGATGCAAGATCGATTCGTCTTGGGCCTAGTTGAAGCTTAGGTTCTGTGTTGCCCACACCAATGCCGGTTCAATAACCCTTTTCTTAGATATTTTTGTCTGCGCGCTGAAGGAGTCATCGCCAAAAAACGACCCGCGACGCTAACCAATTGGCAGGGACCCACTATTGACGTCGCGCATCAAGATGAGATGATGCACGTGATTTCCGGCACATCCTCGGTCCGGCTGACGGCTGCTCACCTTGGCTGACAGGCGGGAGGGACAGGTGAGAGGTTTTGGCCCGGCAACCAATGGCAACACGGCCAACCTCGGGATCCCCCCTGGGCCTTAGCTCCTTACCCATTCAATTTCCCCATGTTGATGTTCCCCAAAGACCAGCCACCCGAGCTCGCGACAAGTGGGTGATCTATAGCCCACCCCCCACCCCCCATTTGCGACTTCCTGTCTGTTGACAACATCGAGAGCCGAATCACGATCCAACATCGACGATTGCGATACCATTGGCGATTTCACAGACAAAACCAGCCCGGCCACAGACGCGACCGCCCGAATCGCTTGACGAAGCTCGATAAGCTCGAGTACCTTGTATTTACGCAAACCCACATCTCATATATACCTAGGCTACGTGCCTAATTGCAATGGTTGCGTCCAACTAAATGTCGTGGCCCAACGATCAGAATTCTCGGAGGCGAGGGGTTTGGAGCCATTGGGTGCCGCTTGCAGTCACTGTAACTGTTGCGACAGTCGGCATCGCAGCGTGGGTATGGAGTCAGCGCAAAGATGAGGACGACACGCCCGAGAATGAGCAGTATCCCGACCTCGACTACGACAATGCAAATTATGGCGACAATCCTGCCTACGGTACTTCCAGAGGACCCAAACCACCGTCCAGCAACGTCGGAACCGAAACATACGGCACGGCCGAGGGACCCCGAGATGCGCCCGGTGATGGGTTGGGAGCCAGAATGTCTGGCGCATTGAGGCGCACGCCCAGCCCCCAGCAGTTCCTCGACGCTGCCGGGAAGACAGTGACTGCTGGCTTCGCCGCCGCCGGCGCTGCAGCCGGTAGGGCATTGGCCGCCATCAGGGAAGAGGACAAGAATGCGTACGCTGACCATGAGACATGGTCCGAAGAAGCGGATGCCAGAAAAGAACGATCTTCCGGGCCCAGAGACCCCAGCAAGCGACGACGAACTGTCGCCATTGTGGTTTCTGCGGATAGCCACGGTGACGATTTTGACGAAGATGGATTCCACGAACACGCCGTAAGCCCCCCTCTCCTGCTTGCCATAGGTTCCGAAGCGCCTCGCTGACTCCTTTACAGTCCATCTTGTCGCATATTCCGCGCTACACCAACTTCAACGACATCAAGCTCTTCGTTTTGATCTATGCGCCGGGCCTAAAAGAGACGGCGGGCGAATCAACTAGTAACCTTCCGCCACCGTCGTTGAGCTCGTCCTTCTCTAACATTGAGCACCATCAAGCCCAGACGCCTGGTGAGGAGTCATCCAAGAGTCCTCTGATGAACCCTTCGCCTGCAAACCCTGCTTTCAATGCCGTTTACTCCCAGGCATTGGCTTTGGTTGAGAAGGAGACCATGGTGATGCCTTTCACTACGGCCAACGGGCACACCCATATTCTTCGTCATCTCCAGCCGGAGATCATCTATCTTCAGGAGTCTCTTGCAGGCGATAACGGTGCCATGGTCTCCAACCTCCAGACCTGGCTGCGCCACGACATCATCCTTGTTGTGGGTGCTGAGGGTGGTGGTGGTGGTCTCGCCGACAGCGAGTCTGAGGCAGAGAGGCCTGGCAAGGAAGAAAAGTGGTGGCAGCGATCGGACCGCGTGGGACGTGGCCGAGGCGTTGTCGTCGTTGACGGCATGCGGGTCCATGACGACTGGGCCCGCCGTGTCCAGGGCAAGGAGTAAATACTCTCTCCACTGTATAAACGAAGACTTCCAATAAGGGAAATCTGATCTCATGGGGGGACGGGACGGGTATGAAATGTGTGTGTTTTTATTGGATTGGTATATACCACGAGATGTCATGTAACGTTTTCATGAGCAGATAGGTAATTGACCGTTGCGACGCGAGATGAATTGTTTTCGTAGTGAATCACATCGTTTAAATAATGAACGAACTACTTCGGTCACATGCTCCAAGATATCATTTACGCCGTAATGAACACGAGATGCCACTTTTAATATAGCCTCTTTGCATTCATACTATCTTCCACACTGTAGCCCAGGTGGCCTCTTCTTTGGAGTTGTTGAACGGGAATAACCCTAGGTGTTTGGACGTTTCTCGACCTTGTTCCAACTTTCATGATGTTGAATAAAAATTGAATGAAAAAGAATAAAATATTGGCTTCTGACCTAAGGATCAAGGCGGGGCTAATCCAGTGAACGTAAATATGACTTTAATGATGACTACTTCCTAGTAGATTGGTTTTAATCGTCATATTTCGAATGCTGTAGCCTCGTATTCATTGTTTAGACAAATCGGCAGCGCATTTCGAGGCTTGATACTCAATATCTTGGGATGCTAGAGTACGTACCGTCTACACACTGTACAAGCACTGCGGTCCGTGCGTCTACCCGGGGTTTTGCCTGAGGCTCTACTCTGCTCCACGCCCGCGTCCCCGTCTCGGAGACCTGCGGCGGCTCCTCCTTGGACCTTTCTCCGACAGGTCTCGCGGAAGCCTGACTACATCCCAACCCCACACGCTTGGAAACTATCCATCAGGGCTGTTGTGCATCTTTCCCGTCGTTTTCTTTCTGAATTTGAACTTCGTTACCTTTTGATCCTCCGCCGAGGATACATTCGATACAACTGCGACCGCGCATTCGGCATCAATTACCCTGCTCCACGTCGACGTCACCCGATTTGTCAACGCGCATCATCCACTCGACCACCCCCATCACGAACCCCATCACGATCGACGAGCCGAATATCTTATTCAATGGTTGCTCTGTAAGACAACTCTGGGCATCATTCGACAGTGGGAGAATAGCCTCGCGACGCCATCTCCGGCCTGTTGCGCTCCGGTAGCCGCCTCATCCGGCAAAAATGGCGCCAGTCGTGACGGCCATCCAGCCGCCTTCTGTCGCGTCCAAGATTAAGCGTCCTGTGCCCCCCGGCATTCAGACCAATGGAGCGAGTTCTATCCGATCATCTCCATCGCCTTCAATGTCGACAAAGAAGCCTCCCAACTCTGCGACAACGAATGGCGCGAATTCGCAATCAGCGCGGCCGACCAATCGCACGCGCCGTGAACAGTCAGCCCAAGGCAGTCGCATTTCTAGGAACAGTGTAGGACTCCGATCGGCGTCGCTCGTCGGCGATACGACAGCCGCGCAGCCTTCGGAGCCGTTACCATATAGTTAGTAGACTGTGGACTTGCTGCAATCATCATGGACGCCAATGCTGACAGGCCACAGTTGTGACGGATGAATACATCTTGAAGAAATTCGCAGGCAACGCACCTTCCCTCGTCGTACACATGCACACAACGCATTTCCGATTCGATCAGCAAGATGGCATCTTCCCATACAAGTCCCCGATGCGGTTGTTCTTGGAGCACTTGCGCGAGCGCACCGTACCTCATGATCTCATCGAATACTTCTCAGAAGCGGGTGTTCCTTTCTACGAGGGATGCTTGATTGTTCAGGTGCACGACCACAAGTCTGTCGCTCAATCTAAGGAAGTCCAGCGACCGACATCGGCCTCGAGCAAAGTTGTGCCATCCTCGATTCACAACCACAACCCATATATCGTACCTTCACCATACGTTCCGTATCCTAAAGAGTCTCTCGGTGCGCAGCCCGATGCTGTATCCACTACACAGGAGGACACGAAACCCAAAACTGCGGAGGAGAAGGATAAGCAGAGCATGCCAGCGCCTAGTTTGCCTGGTGAAGGCCAAAAGAGCAAGATACCCGCAAAGCCAAAGACCTTCACTGTCGTGCTCCACCCTACGCCTGAAAGCCTCCAGGCAGACCTGATGATCAAGGCTGCAACACCTCGAGGCGCGGCAGGAAGTCTGGAAGGCACTGGCGCTGTACCCCCATCAACGCCGATTACTATGGTGCCCCCAACTCCTACTGCAGGCAGCATGCCTCCTCCCGCCAAGAAGCAGAAGCGCGAGCGCATGGAGCTCGATGGGAGCAACATATATCAAGCAGAATCACAGATCTTGCTTGCTACCAACGCTCCCCTGTTTCTGGAGCCAACAAGGGATACCGAGGAGACTATCGCTTTGCTTGATGCTTTGGCGCACCCCCAACACTCCGACTCGCCTCCTCAACCCAAGACTCGCAAGAGAACCGTCGCAGAGATGGCTGCGGACGAGGCCGCCGCAGCAGAACAGGAAAGATACATGCTTATCTTGGACGAGCGTCTTTCATCTGCTGCAAATGGCACCCAAGGCGGTGCCAATGGAGCGGACAAGGAAGGCCAGGCTGTTGTGTCTACATTCGAGCCAAGGTTCGAGCGATTTAAGGTCATCGCTGACATCAAGAGAGAGCACGAGGAGAGGAAGGAGCAAGAGAAGGTTGAAGCGGCCGCGAAGGAACGCCAGCTTGCACAAGAGAAGCAAAAGCAGATGCAGGAGCAGCAGGCTGTCATTGCGGCACAGCGCCAGGCCGAACAGGAGAAGATGCGGCGCGAACATCAAATGGCTCAGGAACTCAAAGCTCGCCAAGAACAACAGCAGAGAGAGGCCCAGAGACGGGCTATGGCTGCACAGGCTGCTGCGAACCAGGCCGCCCAGAACAACCAAAATGCAGCGGCAAACCTGGCACAGCAGCAGCAGCAGCAGCAGCAACAACAGCAACAGCAGCAGCAGCAGGCGAATGTTGCTATGCCAAATGGCACATCTGGTGCAATGCCAAACGGCGTTCCGGCTCAGACCCAGGCACGCTTCTCTCAGGCATCGCAGCCGCCCGTTTCTCCCGTCGTCAGACAGGGCACACCCCATAGCATGTCATCTCCCATGCCTGGCGCTGTGCCTATGCAGCAGAACAACTCTCAAATGGCCAACAGCCCGCCACGCCCTCCATCAGCCGTTCAAGGCCACCCACCCAACGTTGGTGGAGTCCCAATGGCGCACAGCATGTCTGCTCGCGCCAGCCAGCAGAGTCACCAGGCTGCTACCCCACGCATCCAGCACGGTACGCCAAACATGCAGGGAACGCCCGTGCCTCGCACAGCAGTCGCCGCAACGCCTCGTATGAACCAGGCAAGCCCACCTCCCAACATGATGCAGTCAAACTCTCAGATGGGCCAACACGTCATGATGGGTACTCCCGGTGCTATGCCACAAACTGCGCATAACCCCAATATGATCGCCGCACAAGTTGCCCAGCAACAACGAGCCATTCAACAGCAGCAAATGGCTGCCGCGATGCAGAATGGCATGGGTAACATGATGAACGGCAACATGAACCCCCAGCAGATGACGCCTCAGCAACAGCAATACATGCAGCAGCAAATGCAGCACAGACTCATGATGCAGCAGCAGCAGCAGCAACAGCAACGCGGCAACATGGGCGGCAACATGAGCAACATGATGAACCAGCAACTGGCGCAGAGATACGCCCAGCAGCTCAGCCAGATGGGCGCCAACAATATGAACGGTGGCCAAATGACGCCGCAGATGCAAGCCCAGATTCAAGCGCAAATCCAGGCGCAAATGAACCCGATGCAGCGCCAGATGGCCGGCGGCGGCCAGAACATGATGAATGGCCAGAACATGAATATGCAGGCCATGATGCAGATGCAGCAGCAACAAGCAATGAACAATAACAACGCATTGACGAACCAAGTTAAGCTGCAAGGACAAGCGATATACAACAAGCAGATCGCCAATCTTGCTGCTAAATGGGGTGGTGCTGTTGAGAATATACCGCCGGAGCAGATGGAGGCCTTTAAGAGAAACTGCATGATGGAGGCAAAGAATCAGATTCAGAGCGTTCTTGCCCAACGCAGGGCTCATCAGGTTATGATGCAGCAGCAGCAACAGCAGCAGCAGCAGCAACAACAAATGCAAGGCATGGGCGGCATGATGGGACCTCATGGCATGTAGTACTCGCCCGATTTCCGACCCTGGTGCTAGTGGGCCCAGCGACTCTTGTAGGGCGCATGAGCACGCGCCAGACATGCCGTCGCAAACTGAGTCGGGATTCAACTGGCAATGGCCATCGCCAGTTGAGTCAGGTCTAATATGAGACAGGCCGCCACAGATCACGTTACTGATCAACGCTGCGGGCCTGTCGAGGGGAGCAAAATGAATCATTAGGAGACTACGGTGTGGACGGAATGGGTTGTGAGCGTCTTTTACGGTACTTTGGCGTCTGGGGACTTTAGGGACGGATTGGCTGTTTGATCTCTCATGGTCTTATATACCCCTACGAAGGCGTACTTACCTTATCCTTCGAGGTGCGGTTAGGGATGGACGGCAATTGCTTTTCATGGGTCACGGAGGAGGGAAGGGAATGGTGCATACCACCAGAGCAGTTCAAGGCTCTGCGGAAGCGAGCTCATGTATCATTTGATGTACAGAGAATCAAATCAGTTTATCGTGCAACAGTACTTGTGAGACGTATTGAATGACTTTGGCATGACCAAGCTGCCTGAATCTGAGTAAGTACTAACGTATATGCACCAGTATCATCAACTTTCAGAAGTGTTAGTGAGCTCTGGCCGAGGTGTGTCAAGGTGAGGCAAGGTGGGATTGAGGATCCAGTGTTGGCTTATGTCAGCTACATGCATAGATGGATGACAGTGCGGCCAGATCCGTGCTCATTGTCCACTTCCCCATGCAAGGCATGGCCTCTGCACGTGATTCGCTAGATCTTCGGCATGACGATGATGCAACAAGCTAAATGCCGCCTGGCCAAAACGGTCAGGTCCCATTCTCCCAAGAAGCAGCCAAAACGAGGTCATCCACCCGCTGCCACAGTCCACTTGCTCCGGCCTCCCAAGCCACATGAACGACACGCCGTGACCTGCCCGTTTTCTGTTGCCTGCCCAGCGTCCAGAACCACATTCATTACGTACAAAACTACTCTTTCTTCTAACTATTCCCCTTTTCCATTTTCCCAATACTTTACGCAACCTTACAGCAGCAGTTGCTTGCTAAGCTTTCGTGATCCGCAGCAGATCCGCAAACTCCATCGAAGCTCAGACGGTCCCCCGTTTCCCATCCCCCCGAGAGAAAATCGCTTGGCCGGATCTCCCGCGATGCATTTCCCTCGACTACTGCGGGCCGAAGGAGCCTTTGTGCTCGCACTGCTGTTGGCACCTCTGCCGGCGGCCGCGATGCTCGATTGCAAACACATCCGAGTCGACGACGTCTCATTCAACCTCGAGGCACTAGGCGGACCGCACAGCGTCGTGACCAGCCAGTGGCATCCTCCCACGTACACCAACACATCCTATACTGTCGATATCTGTGCTCCCTTGAAGCGCAAAGGAGACGTCAAGAAGGAGGAACAGTGCCCCAGCTTCACGAGAGGTATGGCCTTACGCGAAATCGTTGGAAGTGGCAAGCTCGAACAGTACAGAGCTAACCTGTGTCTGAACAGTATGTGCCATTGAACGCAACATCCACCCAGGCGACGACAAGAAGGACGAGGTCGAGAAAGTGATACCCATCGCCGGCGAACTTGGCGACCACGGCGGAAGCAAATTGGACGCCACAGCAGAACGACTCAAGTCGAGCGACTCCAACTCGGACGCGAAGAAGGAGGGCGTCCGCCTGATCCTCAACGGAGGCTCGTACCCGCTGGGTAAGAACGGCAGGAACCAAAAGGCCATTATCGAGTTCCTCTGCGACCGTGACAGGACAGGTCTCGAAGGCGAGGTCAAGCCTGAGGACCAGTACGACGGCAGCCAGTTCCGGGCGCGCGAGGAGGGCAAGGAGGGCGAGGATGACGGACCCTCACCCGACGAGAAGCAGGTTCTGTTGAACGGGACGGCCTTGATCTGGAACAGCTACGGCCCGAACGAGAAGAACGACATGGATGTACTGAGGTTGACGTGGCACACCAAGTACGCGTGCGAGGACGCCTACGGTAAACCGCCTGCGGAGGGTGGCAGTGGTGGTGGTGACACGAGCAGCCACTGGGGCTTCTTCACCTGGCTTTTTGTCTTGTAAGTCTTGACGGAATTTACGTGGTGGTTTTACTTCGCACAAGCTAACGTCAATTCTTTCTTCTCCACAGGGCCTTCCTTGGTATCGCTGCATACCTCATCTTCGGCTCGTGGCTGAACTACAACCGATACGGCGCTAGGGGCTGGGATCTTTTGCCGCACGGAGACACCATTCGCGATATCCCCTACCTGGTGAAGGACTGGACTAGGAACGTGCTCAACACCGTAAACACTAGCGGTGGCCGGGGCGGATACAGTGCCGTCTAGGTTTAAGAACTGAGATGATGATCCTCGTCCAACAGCATCCACTTCAAAAAAGAGAGAGATGGCAGGGAAAGAAAGATGAAGGTGTACATTCTATTGTTGTAAACTGGATTAGTGGCTACGGTTTCTGGGTTGCATTATTCTCGCGAGCCTAATTCGCGACTTTGGAGTTGGGACCGGTGTCTGGTCCTATGGAGCTTTGTCGCATTAGCTTACTTGTCTCTCAAGAAATACACATTTGATTGAAATGAACATTGATCTCGGGTGCTGGTGTAGATCGTTGCGAATGGTATTCCATAACTTCGGAATACACGACAGATCCAAGGGTATGTAGGCTCCCTCGATCCCGTTCCTGTCACCAGCCAGCAGGCGCCCGTCTAGGTCGACGGGTCAGGTCAAACTGGCTGGGTGGTGGAGTGGTCCATGGTCAACAATCACATCGCCAACCAGCCTACTCGGCGACAGGCTTAGCGCATACGAGAGTACCCGAGTTCGAATCCCAGCATGAGCACCAAGAGATGTAGCCACACGGGTGGTGAACTCTTTTTTCCCTCCTATAGGGAATGGTTTTCCTCAGGTAGTTGACATGAGCCTTGACGGGATCCGGCTTGTAAGGGAAATTACACAATACAATAACATTCGTATTAAAACTACACGATGCCCACGCTTTGTATACGTATGAGGTTGTACGTAGCAGTAAGTTTATTCCGTCACGGAAGGGGCCGCGGGACTGAGATCCGGGTTAGCCTTCAGGTACCTTAAGGTTTAGTGGACCCGCGATTTGGTGGGGCCGGTTCAACTGACGTGCAGCACGGATGCATCGAAGCTCGCCTGGCCCCCGGGTCCATGTACTTGCCCCTCCGGCCCTACCTCCGTGTACTTCACCCGCACCATCACATAACGGGCATGTCTACCACCCAACGCAATTCTGCCGGCGACTCTACGCCAGCCGACCCAGATGATCCAGAATACGAAGACCTCCTCCAAGATGAAGAGCCTTCACCAGCCTTCACACCCGCGCCCCTCCCAACTCTCACAAACGAACCCCAACGACACCCAGACTCCTGCCTGACTCTCTCCCTCCCTCTCATAAAAGCCCTTCACGCACAACTTCCGCCGACGCCGGAGCTTACGCTCTCGATTGGAAGCGGTACGGGGCTTGTGGAAGCTCTGCTGGACTCTTTGGCTGATACCAAGGACCAAAATCCCACTCAAGAAGATCCTCGGGCTTCTAAAGCTTCTCAGGAGACGCCTGCCCCGCGACCGCTCAACTTAACAAGCATCGAAATCGCCCCATCCCCAAATAAATACCACCCCAACCACCGCACCGTCCCGGGTACATGGGCACTCGATCCCGCTGCAGCGGAAGCCAAGGCGTGGATATTCGTGTACCCGAAGCAAGTCGCTCTCGTGAAGAAGTACATGGAGGCCTTTGCCTCCAGCCACTCCAGCAAGAAAGCGGCTGCTGTGGAGACGGTGTTATACGTCGGTCCAAGAATGGACTGGGATGATTTCCGGGGCGCATTGGAGCCGTACGCGGAGAGTGTCGAGGTTTGGGACGAGGAGCGGATGGAGGGTGTTGGGGGGCGGGGGTGGGAATGTGTTGTGAGGGTGACGGTGAAAAGGTGAGTTTTGGGGAGGGGAGAGAGTGTTGGCATGGAAATGGGTAGAGGGGAAGCCTGGCATGCAGACGAGATCTGTGAGGGGACACGAAGTTATTGGGTTTAGGCTTGTAGGTGGTGTACTGTGGGATGCCACTTGGATATGTCCTCGTCACCCGCATAAGTCAAGATGAAGGTCATGAGTAACGGGCGGAGATGGCCATGTCCACCTTGATTTTCTTACTCTAGCCAGCTTGACCGCCCTCCTTAAGTATTCTCATCAGGATAACGGCCGCAGAATACAAGTCTTGCTATAGTAAGCGATGCGCGTATCCTACCACGGTCGACGATTTGAACGTAAAAGGAATGACCAATTGATGTCCCACCCATAGTCCAATACGGGATGGTCTGCTACATAGATTCATATATTTCTCATCAGTTATGAGCAGGACTGCACATCACCACAGAAGCGACGGCAAAAGGGCACATGGAAGCAATAGTGATTTCCGCCCCGCTGGATGGGACTTCACAGTGTCGTCAAGATCCCTTGAAAGATTCGCTCATCGGTAAAAGCACTCCCGAACTTCTTAAAGGGGCGTTATTGCTTACCAGGCCACCCAGCATAACAGCTCTTGTCTTAAACAGGCGCCGCACTGAAACCGGCCAAGAGGCACCCAGGCACCCTCTGACGGGAGCCGACGCCTTCGTACAACATCGGGCCTATATTTGGCGATGTCCGCCGCCTTCACGTAATCACCTACAGAATCTGATTACACGATACATTGGTCTAGATTGTATACTACTAGGGCTACGCAAATGCTAAGCTATGCCAATGATGATCACAACCACCCCCAACACCTCGCTCCAGAGACGAGGCACACCGACCTCTTGCCTCTCTCTCTCTGTCTCTCCACATTACAAATTTTGACAAATAACAATAGGTACTATGTAGGTAAATAAGTGAGTGCAACCTGTTTGGCTTGGGCTTTTGTGCACACAAAAAAGTATTTACGATTTGTATTTACAACGAGAGTGTGGTTGGAAGAAAGAAAAGCCTTCGAGGTCAACTCTGAGAAGGCTACCGGGGTCCCTCTTAAGCCGCAGCAGGGGCCGCGGCAGCCGGCATCATCGAGGCGGCAAAGGTGGCGGCCTCATCAGCGTCGTTGCCGTACGTCAAGTGAGCGCGGCGGATCTGGTTGCCGCCCTCGCAGATGTTGTCACCGTTGTGGCAAATAACCTTGGTCTTGGCGGCATCAACGCCCTGGACAGCTTGTCCGTTGACTGTGAAGAGAATGCGTTAGCATTGAACTCAAAACATCATGAACCCCGTTAGAAGGCTTGATGGGAGATAACTTACGCGGGTCACCGAAGATGACGGCACCTGCAACTTTGGCCACCATGTCGGGCTGCATCATAGCAGCGCCGTTGTGGACGAGCTGTCCACCCTGGGAGTATCCAGACATGATTACGGCCGAGTTGGGGCAGTTGGTAATGGCTTGCTCGGTAAGGGTGGCCATCATTTGGGATCCGTTGGCGTCACCTCCGGCCAAGAAACCGGGGATATCGGCGGGATACTCGACACCCTGCACGGCAAGGCTGCCGCCGACCTGAGTCGCAAGGGACTGGAAGAAGGGCGGACCGGCGATGGTACCAACGTTGCCTCCCTCGGTGGTGCCGCGGGCAAAGATGACGATCATGGACTGGCACCCGGCAGCGAGACCATCTTGCTGGTTCCCTGAGAAGTCGGCCTGGCGGGGCTGAATCGTGAGGGGGGATGAACTCGCCGTGCCCAGCAGAGCGAGAAGGAAGGCTGCTGTCGAGCTGTGCATTTTGTGTATTGGTATTGTAAGGACTGATTATTGTAGTTGGCAAGTTATTAGTAAGGAGTGAATATGGATTATCCGATGCTAGCTGAAAGTTGGATCAACAACTATTCAAGGTTCTTGGTCGCCGTCACATGAGATGGGGGGATAACTGGCGACCATTGCACTCTTATAGCGGGGATAGTGTGAGAGATGCTCCTTGTTTCTACTCCCGAATCGCCTAGCCGGCCGGTGAGACGAAGGCGACATTAAGCTTCTTTCCCTCGCCTATTCCGTGTTGGACGTTCCTGCAGCACAACGGCTTCAGGTACCGCAACCTCATCCCAATGGGGTAAAGAGGGCGGATCAGAGGCAGGGGCCTCACGTGGGATCGACCTGATCCCGACACTAGACGGGGAGGCCAGGGACGGACTCTGCTGATTCTTCAGAAATCGTAGGCTGGTACGCTGGTACCGGCAGATGATGAAGATGATCAGGAGTAGTCCGCCAAGCTGGGCTGAGCCAAACAGGTGGACCCTTTCAAAGCTTGGTGTGCGTGCCTTGCGTTCCAAACTTCCTTCCCGCAGCCTGGGCGGGCTGAAAAGTGCTGTTGACGACTTGACGGGGCAGACAAAATCCTATAACGGCGCGGATAATCGTAGTGCGGGCCTGTTGCGATTGGCTACAGTCTGATTCAAGAGTGAAGCTGGGTCCGATCTCTTCTTGCCCATGGGGGAGGGAGGGGACGAGTTTCGAAACAACAGGGTGGGCTGTGCGCAACACCAGCGGAAGGGGAGGACACCGACGGTCTCACAAGCTTTTTCAGAATGTACCGACTGACGTTTGGTGTGGTTTGGTGGGGCTGGACAGGGCGAATGGTGGGATGGAAAACTCGCTGTGGTAGACTGAAGTGGAAGTATCCGTTGAGCTTGGCTGTAGTAGATGGCAGGTCTCTGACAGCGCTTTGTTCTGGTCCCATGTTCTTCCGCCGTTTTTTGTCGTCTTGACCCAGTCAAGTTGCGAATCATCCCTCCCTGAGAGAAGGGAAGGGAGGGCTGGAAAGGTGGCATCAATACCAAGGGCGAGGGTGACCGCTGACGTGCGTTTAGGTAAGACTGGCGTTGGGAGACAGCTGGACCGTCGGATTTCGATGGCCTTCCGTTTGGCCGTCTGGCCCTTTTGCCAAGATCGTCTCGACTTATTTTTTCGCTGGTCTTATCATGCTCTCCCTCGATTGGAAGAGGCACTGGACGAAGATCCGGACTTGGGCTCGGGGAAGATGCGGTAAGATGACCCAATGACACGGCATCACCCTCGGTAGTGTGTGGTGGCATATCATCAACGCAACGGGGCGATTTCGGCAAGATGATTAGTCGTGACCGAGTAATGAATGTCTGCGATAGTTGTCGACTGGGACTACAACTAGTCTCGTTCGAGCATGTAAGTTGGAGGCTATCCAGGGAGCCCCGCTTCACGGTTCTTGATGACTTGACATGCACAGGTGCTTTGAGGCGTCAACGGGCGCTGCTGATTGTCGTTAACTCGAATTGAGAAAGCATGATGAAGACGGAGGGTTCCTGGGCAGCTAAGAGAGGTCACCGAGAAGAGTTTCGTCACACCGAAGTCCAACGGCTTTGGCATTTACGTACCTGCCTTGGGGACGTTAGGTGAGGTGGAAGGAGTGGCAAAACGTGGGGGATGCGCCAACGCAGGGACGCCCGGCAGGATCGGGCCCGCCTCACGGGAGGGGAATTTAACCGAGACCCATCTTTCAAGGTTGACCTCCACCTTCCGAGGTTCTTGCCGTCCACCGCGATATGAGGTCAGATGACCAGCAACTGTGGTTGGTCCTCGACGTCAGTACACACTCCGGATCTACAATTTGGTCTTTGCTCGGTGTGGTCAGGTATTGTATGAGATGAGGTGCTCAGAAAGAACTGTGTCTACTTTCGTCAGGGCTTCACTCACCGTAAATATCAAGAACTATCAGCCATTGATGGATACCATCTCTGCCTTACCGCAGGATGACATGATCACAAGAAAGAAAATCGACGAAAATCTGTGACAATCATATATATTGTCCGAAAGAAGCGGGATAGCGTCATGGGGTCTCATTTCAGCACGACCCAAATAGTGTTGGTGAGCATTTTCAGCGCGAAAGAAGTGACCAGAATACAGCCCGATATAAGCTTTCGGCTTATCTTCATGTCATTTGAAGATACGAGAACGTAAATGGCAAAAACATTTTGTATTGTCTCGAAAATTGAGTGGGATTGTCATGGGGAGCTAATCTGCCTCGGCTTACCATCTTACCCGGTCTTAACCTCTTTACCTGAGATTCCATTCCACCTTGTCGTCGATACTATCTCTTCCGTATGCCTCCTCTCCCTTATTTAGCCCGTGGCAACTTGAAGTTGTGGTCGTCAAAGAGATTTGTCAACTCTAATCCTTGGGCCACCTTGCGGAATCGGCGCATCCGGATCGACTGACTCCTTAGGGCCAACGGGTCTCATCTCGATACGAATTACTTTGTGATCGTTGTTCATGTCGAAGATGATGAGTCTGCGTTGCTTGAAGTCCTTGCCACGTGAGTCGCGGTCCGAAAAGAACTCGACTGGGTAGGTAACGCAAAGGCGATCGACAATGGTCATCTCTTCGGACGGAAAGCCCGGATTCTTCTGGAAATATTGTTTGATCTCTTCCAGGCCATGAAAGATCTGACCGGGGTCTTGAATATCCACAAGTAGCTTGACCTCGGGAGCGCAGCGCTCTTTGACCATGGCGAAGTTATCAAGGTACAGAGCAGTGATGAGATCCCATGCCAAGCTCTCCTGCACAAGACGGTAAGGCCGGTCGCTTGACTGACCTCTAATTTTTTTGAAGCCATCGCTCAAGTTCCGCTGCCCCGAATATCTGGTCCATCTTTGCAATGCGTTAGTGTTGTTGGCTAGACATCTCTCAAAGGCGGCTGTGACTTACAGTTGACAGGCGTGAGTATAGGCCAGAGCCACGAAGTATCTATCGCGTGGCGAGATTGTAGGGAGTACCGGAAAGGGTTGATGATACTTGGCCTCGAGAAGAAGTCTTGTTGGTCTGGTGAAAGTTGAACAATGGAACCCAGCTTCGAGAAACCTACGCAATGAGACGGCTCAACTTAAGTGTCCAGAGCCTTGGGTTGTTGAGAAGGAAGAAAAGCAGGGAGGGTTGGAAGATTGAGAGGATCTTGTACTGTGAGAAAGCGGTTGTGAAGATCTCGCGAGGGAAGGCATGCTCTCTCGCGCCTCCCTATTCATTGACAGTGAAAGTTTGGTGAGCCAGGAAGGTGCAGCTGGAATATCAGGATTGATGCTTGTAAGCAAGTCATAAGGGCATTTGAAATCATCATCACAAGTGAGCGAAAGAGCTGAATGAAGACGACAGAAGCATCTTCCGAAGGCACCTTCTAGTTCGAAGTTCCAATTATCTTCATTGAACAAATCCAAGCTTTCGACAAGTCCATCTCTCAAAACGGCAAGCCGCAAAGCCACTACACCCTCAGAACGACAACGCTTCGCTGTTTTACGTTGCTTGAAATCTAGGTCTAGGTGTCGTCAGGTTTTAAACGCCGGCGCCAAACGAAAATTAATTACATGGATCGAAACATCCTTTCATCACATGGAGTGGTGGGGTGGTGAGTCATCACGCTCTCATGAGCGGGTGATGGAGATGGCCTCCTCAACGATATCCAAACCCTGCTGGATCTCCTCCTCGGTGATGGTCAATGGTGGCACGAAACGCAGAGTGTTGGTGCCGGCAGTGATGATGAGCAGGCCGCACTCGCGGGCGGCCTTGACGATGGGCGTGGGGTCCTGGGTAAGTTGCAGACCGAGGATGAGACCGCGGCCGCGGACCTCCTTGATCAGGTCGGGGAAGCGCTCGCGCAGGGCATCGAAGCGGGTCTTGAAGATCTCGGCCTTGGCGGCGACGGCCTTTTGCAGACCGGGGTCGGCGAGGCGGGAGACGATGTTGTGGGCCAGGCGGCAGGCGAGGGGGTTGCCGCCAAAGGTGGTGCCGTGGTCGCCGACCTTGATCTTCTCCGAGACGGTGCTGTTTACAATGGTGGCGCCGATGGGGAAGCCGTTGCCGAGGGCCTTGGCGGTGGTGATGATGTCCGGGTGGGCCTCCTTGGGGAGGTGGGTGTGGGCCCAGAAGGTGCCGGTGCGGGAGAGGCCGCACTGGATCTCATCGTAGATGAGGACGGCGCCGACCTCGCGGCAGCGCTTGGCCAGGGCGATCAGGAACTCGTCCGTCGCGGGCGTGACGCCGCCCTCACCCTGGATGGGCTCGACGATGACACCGCAGGTCTTCTCGGTGACGGTCTCGTTGATGGCGGAGACGTCGTTGAAGGCGCCGAGCTTGAAGCCGGGCAGCATGGGCGCAAAGGGCTCCTGGTACTTGGGGTTGTGCGTGGCGGACAAGCTGCCCATGGTGCGGCCGTGGAAGGCATTGTTGAAGGAGACGACCTCGTACTTGTCACCCGATGGCTGGCTGACCTTGGCGGCCTTCCTGGCGAACTTGATGGCGGCCTCGTTGGCCTCGGAGCCGGAGTTGCAGACAAACACCGAGTTGGCGTCGTGCATGGCACCAGCCTCGCGGGTCTTCTCGATCAGTAGCTTGGAGAGGGCACCAGTCCAGGGGTTGTAGTAGAGGTTCGAGGCGTGCATGAGCGTGCTACCCTGTAAGGTTCCGGCCATGTACTGTCAGCGCATCTGGTATTAAAATGACTCACGGCGGCTCGGAGTTACCCACCTGCTCGGTCAGAATCTGGGTCAGCTCAGGATCGCAGTGTCCCAAGGCATTGACGGCGATACCAGCGGTGAAGTCGAGGTATTTCCTGCCCTCGACATCCCACAGGAGAGAACCTTGGCCTTGTACGAAAACGGGAGGCGGGCGGGCGTATGTGGCGACCATGTAGGGCGCATGTTCGCGGACAAGAGCGGCACTCGGGGAGTCTTCGGTGGGATCGGGGTTGGGTACTGATGACTGCTTTTGCTCATTGTCAGTGCCAGTCTGGTGGTGAGTCACTCGAATAGTTCGTGACTCCATGGGGTCACCTACGCCAAAGTTGCTCTTGACGTCGCTCGTGGCCGCCGCGGCTGCAGAAGAGAGTGCGCGGGAGTTGATGCGCGAGGCGACGGCCAGACGAGGCTGGCACTTTGCCAATTGAAGTCGCAGAGGAGCACGGAACGCCATTATGGTATCTTGAAGAACAAACAGGGCTCTGCGGTAACAGACTGGCAAAAGAGAATGGTGTTGAAGAGAAGTCGTCAATTAAAATTTGGGCCGTTCGCGCATGCATGCACAGAGGTGACTCGTCAAACATGTTATCGATAAGGCGCGCATTTTCCCACTTTTTGCGCCGTTTGGAGGGGCAGATCCACTCTTTCCCGGTGTTACGTGCGCTGTGGCCCGGGGATATCCCTCCGATCTCGGTCGGGCTCGGACGAACTGCCGACGTGGTCTTGCAATGAGGTCTTATGCTCTCTATCGAGGTAAGATACCTGAGATACTTGGATTTTGATGCAAAGCAGACCACAAAATTAGTACACTAGCTTTGGTGTCACGCGAAGAGACAAAAGAACATTCAGCTCCAGTCTACCTGCCCACCTTAACATATAATATGAACCATGGAGTCTTGTATTGCAGGGGATTTTCTAATTGTAATAAAGGGCCTTGGTAATGCTCAAGATATCTTTCCAACGCGAGTGCGGAAATCTGATTTATCTCTTCTTCTTCTTCAGCATGGCATATAGAAAAGAAGGAAGAGTGAAAAAGTAGAAGGAAAGCAAAGATTTGTTTCATTGACTGATGCCCCTTGGGCGGCGGCGTTTGCAATTGCCGAATTCTCGGCTTCGAGCTGGCAATGATCCCGCTAACTACAGGGTTGCCTCGGAGGACAGTCCCTCCCAGTCGACGCGATCAAATGTGTTTGCAGACTCATCCTTATAAATCACCGTCAACCTGATTGACTCCCTATTCCACAGCCTGTTCCGAACTTCCGCTAGCGTATTAGAGCGTTTCCATACCCCATGCTCTTCGCGTACGTCGACCGTGGCGAAGTGGCTGTTCTTTACCATTGATTGGTAAGGACTTTTGATTTCATGAATGTTCAACTCCACGTCAGGCCATGCTAACATGAATTTGCTGATCCGGCAATGGTAGCAAAGGAGCGCCACGATCCTATCTGGATATGTGGCCAATATAGAGAGCATCCCTTCTGCTCGAATCCTTGCCGGGAATATCTTGCCATGTGTGTCGACAAGAAAAAGAAGGTTGTATATACCGTAGAAAACATTCATTTGCAGCGCTTTTACCGTGTCTCGAGTTATGTCGCGCTCATCGTTCCTATACTTGAGAACATCGTAAATCTGGTCTGGGTTCAAATGGGTCAGAAGGTTGTGAAAAACCTTTTTTCTCAGATCATTACGATATGAAATGATGATCTCGCGAATTCCGGGTGAAAATCGTTCTCTCATTTGTATGGCGCCTGCTGCAACTGCCGAAGGCTCCATCCTTTCCAAATAATAGAAGAGGACTTGCGAAGCCGTGCTGTCATCACACCATCGCAGAGCAGCTGCTATGTCGTTTGGGCTGAAGGGAAAATTGGAAGGTGAAAGTCGGAGTAGGTCGCTGAGCGTTTTCATCGGATCTGGAGTCTGTTGGCGGCTTCCTAAACCCGATATGGCATACCCAGTTACTTCGAAGCTCATACCTCTGCCAAGTAAGATTTTGATGTTTTCTAAGCAGCCAGCAATCACAAGGCTTTCGAAAGTCGCGCGTGTCAATGATGGCAACGCCTGGAGGAACCCATGTATGTCTTCGTACTGTATCCGCCGGGGAAAGGTATGGCCAAAAAGAAGCCAGGACTCCAGGTCTCTGATGAGCATTCTCTCGCTTTTGAAATAGTCCGCTCTCAATGAAGTACCGTTTATGACTTCTTGCGCATCAGAAGCGATTCCGAGCAGCGCATAAATCATATCACGGGGGTCCGTTGCCTGACTCTTACGAAATCTGTATAGCAGAAAGTGTAGACTCCTCCGCCGCGTAGATATGCCGTGCGAACCTCTCTTGTTCAAATGACTCGGCATGAGATCCATGAGAGTCTGTCGCTGGTCATCGAGTTCGACATTGATGAGGTGTGTGGCAATGACGAAGGTTTCAGCCGGAATCGAGGAGTATCCGCAGTAGACTAACTATCACGAGTTATAGCACACAGCAATGGGCATACGGAGTATAGTAAAGTAGCCTAACCTATTAAAATAGAAATAGATAAAAGAGAAAGGTCTATATATAAGATATAAATAAAATATATATAATATA